AGGTCCCCCATGCTTAACTACCAGAGATGGAGAGAGGGTAGTGTCACTAAGAGAAAGAGACATGAGGCATTCCAGACCTTCACAGTGTGTTGGGTCACAGCCCTCCAAAGCCCAGATGAATGTCAACAGGGCTGGAAAAATCTTCCTAGGTTCAGGAAATGGGGGACAGGATTTGTCAGAAAAGAAAACTTCCTAATCACCCAAACAAGACAAACTAAAAATACAGCCCATCAGGTATCAAGTCTACCTAGTCCTAGTGAAGGAAAAGTTCTGCTTCTGCCCTCAAACACTTGGAGCTGAACTAAAATTACACCAAAAGCTGAAACCAGCTCAAGGACCAATCAGATGAAGTCCACACTCTGTCAGTCTTACTGGAAAAGGGGAGTATCCCTTTCTGGAGGTAAATATTATCTACTTCATTCTCTATCATTCCTTTCCATAAAATATCCCCTTTACACTCAGATATTAACAAACAGAGAAAGCAATATAATGAAATAGTTAAGAGAGAAAAGAATTAATAGAAGTAGACCTGGAGTTGCTCAGATTTTTAAGTTCTCAGAGACTTTTTTAAAAAAAATTATGACAAATGGAATTATCTAAAGAACAGCATGCATTAATATGTGGGAAATTAATATGGAAAATTATAAAAAGAATTAATAGAAATACTAGAGTTTAAAAATACAATATCAGAAATGAAAAAGTTAAAATCTAAAGCAAACTGGACACAGCAAAGGAAAGTATCTGTGAAGTTGAAGATGGAATATAAAATGCCCAGACTGAAGCACAGAGAGAAAAACAAAGTGAAAAAATATACAAGACATGACCTGAGATTTGTAAGACGATATACTAAATCCTTTGACATAAGTACAACAAGTTCTGAAGGAGAGGAGAGAAGGGGCAAAAGAAGTATCTGGAGACATGGTGACAGGGCACAGTCCAAACTGATGGAAGACACCCACACACAGATCCAAAACCAGCTCAGCAAACTCCAAGGAAACAAGTACAAGACAGTGCATCCAAGCACAGTACAAACCAAATGCCGCAGAGCCAGAGATAAAGAGACCTTCCAACAGAGTAAAGAGGTACGTGACCTAAAGGGAACGGTGATACAAATGGTAGCTAATTTCTTACCAAAAACAATGTGAACTTGAAGACAGTGAGATGATGTCTTTTAAAGTGCTGACAGAAAAAAAAAAAAAGAAAAAACTGGTCGACTCTCACAGTGAAAATCACTTCACTCTGTATCCAGTGAAAACAACTTCAAACCCAAATACTTCAGAAAAACCAAAGCAGAGGGAATTCCTCCTCCCAGACCAGCACTGTAAGAAATGGTAAAAGGAAAGGACGCCAGCGACTAAGAGAAGGATGCTGGATCATCCTGTCAGGAAGGAACGAAGAGAGAGGTAAATATCTGGGGGATGTAAAGACCATTTTAAAAGCACCTTCATTTTAATTTATTTATCCATATCTTTAAAAGGTTATTGACTGTCAAAAATATAACAATGGAGGCAGGAGGATCACAAGTTCAAGGCCAGCCTCAGCAACTTATCAAGGCCCTAAGCAATTTAGCAAGACCCTGTCTCGAAACTTTAAAAAGGGGGGGGGGGGAGGAAGGGGTTCTGGGGAAGGGTCTCAGTGGTTAAGTGCCCCTGGGTTCAGTCCCCAATACCCAAAACAGAACAATTGTATTGTACAATTTATAAAGTGGGGTTCTGGTAAATTTTTAACAAGTGGCTCTCTGAGGGGAAAGAGTCCTTATTTATAGCACTTATTATTACTGTAAGGTAAGTATTCCCATAATGGTGATTTCAATTTATCAGTTCTACAGCTGGCTTGTATTTTTGTTTTTTTTCAAATTTAACAGTCCTCTCTCATGGTGAGCTTCAGCACACCACTGGGTTTATAGAATACATAAATTTAAAAAGACAATGAGAATACAAAGAGTGAGAGGGAAGTGGGAAGTGGAATGGTATGGTTTTTATGCTATTCCTAAAATAACACCTTGTCATATGAAAGGAGACTGTGGTGGATGTACATCTTAACCTCTAGAGGATCATTAAAATGATAATACAGAAGAATGACAAAATAATAATACATGAAATAGATGGAACTCCAAAAAGTATATTCAGATGGCACAAAAAAAGACACGAGAGAAGAAAAAGAGGAACAAATAACACATAGAATAAATAGAAAACAAATAGCTAAAGAGGACACTTAAATCCAACCAGAAAAATAATTACATTAAACATAAATGGACTAAATACTCCAATTAAAACTCAGAAGCTTGGTGCAGTGGTGCACACCTGTAGTCCCAGTGACTTGAGAGACTGAGACAGGAGGAATGCAAGTTCAAGGGCATCCTGAGCAACTTAGCAAGACCCTGTCTCAAAATGAAAAATAAAAATGGCTGGGCACATAGCTCAGTGGTAGAATGCTCCTGGATACCATCCCCAGTACTACGAGAACGAGAAACAGAGACAGATATAGAGATAGAGACAGACAGGATTAAAAAGCAAAGTCTATCTGTCTACTACATACAAGAAGCAGTTATGAATATAGAAGCATATATAGGTTGACAGTAAAAAAAAAAAGGAAAAAGTTATCCCAGGGCTGGGTAGAGCACTTGCCTTGCATGTGTGAGGCCCTGGATTCGATCCTCAGCACTAAATAAAAATAAATAAAGATATTGTGTTCATCTACAACTAGAAAAAAAATTTTAAAAAAGAAAGAAAAAGATATTCCATGTCAACATTAAGCATAAGAAAGTTAACATAGCTATATTAATATCATGGTAGCATCTTGAGTTTCCTAAATTATATTTGACTGTTGAAGCAAAAAGTATAACACTGATGTGGTTATAAATGTATTAAGAATAAATACTATAAACAATCCTATTATAAATGAGATAAGGTTAAAAAATGAGAAGATAAGGTTTCTTCATTTCTCTGAATCTGGCAAAATGACACCAGTAGACTTATGCTAACTTATGTATACATAATGCTCAGACCTACACTGAAAAAGACACAAACAACAAACCCAAACAACCCAAGGGCAGAGGACTCTTCTCCAGAGAAGCTGTATAGATGGCCAATAAGCACATGAGAAGGCTCAGCCTCAGTAACCAGTAGGGAAATGCACATCAAAATCACGAGATAGACTCCACACCCCAACAGTATGGCTACCATGGGGGGAAAACCCTGGAAATAAATGCTGGTGAAGTTGGAACCCTGGTGCACTGTTGGCGGAATATAAAGTGGGGCAACATCTATGGAAAAACAATAATGGCCATTCCTCCAAAAAAATAAGCATAGAGTTATAATGTGAGCAAGTAATCCCACTTTTGGAAAGTACAGACTCAGATAGATACTTGTACACCCGTGTTCATAGCAGCATTACTTGTAATGGCCAAAAGGTGAAACAGTATCAACAAATGAATGGATAAATAGCAAAGCATGGTACATACATGCAACGGAGTTTTTAAAATATTCATTATTTAGTTAGTTAGTTACAGGTGGACACAATATCTTTATTTTGTTTTTAGATGGTGCTGAGGATTGAAACCAATGCTTCATGCTTGGTAGGTGAGCGCTCTACCTCCGATCCACAACCTCAGCCCCATGCAATGGAATTCTATGCAGAAAAAAAAAAAAATCTGACACAAGCGACAACATGAATGACACTGGAAAACATGTTAAGTGAAGTAAACCAATAAACCAAGTCAGAAGACAAGTGTTCTGATACTGTTTATGTCAGTAAAATATCTAGATCCACCCAATTCACAGAAACAGAAAGTTGGGGTGGGGAGATGGCAGAGGCTGGGGGAGTTAATGAACGAGTACAAGTTTCAGAGACACAGAACTTCCAGAAAAGGGGGGGACTCCCCGATCTAGGACTTCGCAAAGAATTTGAAACCAAAAGCATGGCCCAAAGGAAAATTTAGCTGTGAGTACATCAAATTGAGGATGCCCGCGGAAGCCTGTTAGAGACTGACAGGGCCTGGTGTCGGGGCACCCCGAGACCCTCAAAGCTCCAGGGCAGAAAGCCAGGGACGCCCAGAGCGCGGGCCCCGGGGGGGGGGGGGGGGGGGGGGGGGGGGGGG